AAGGGCCCTGTCAATCACACTGCTGGGATATCCTCTGTTGATAAAAAATGAGTACATTTCGAGGGCTTGGTTCTCGAAGTCGATGTCGTCACTGCATAGTCGTCGTAACCTAAGGAACTATGAAAAAGGAAGAGAGTTTTTAGTGTGGTTGGGGTGAAATGAGCTGTACAGGAGGTAGCTGTGTGAATCCGTGGGTTTGTAATAAACTGAAGTGGACAGTCGGGGGTAGTTGATAGACAAGTGGATGTCTAGAAACGGAAGAGTGGTGGAAGATATGTTAACCGTATATTTGAGGGACGGGTGGAAGTTGGTGAAATGGTGCAGGAAGAACTCAAGCTGATCGTTGGAGCATGTGGCGGCACCGACGCAGTCATCAATATATCGTTTGTAGAGGTATGGAAATAATATCCTAGTAAACAGTCAATATGGATTTAGAAATTGTAGGTGTTGCTTGTTACTGTTAGATTTAATTCAATAAGCAACAACAAGAATAGATACACAGGGCATATAATATGTTGTATTTATGTTCAGAAGAAGAGATAAAGTCCTTTATAAATGATTAATTCTCCAGTTGTAGACCATAGTCATTCAGGGAAATAAGAGTGTTTGGTTTGAGAATTGCTTACTACATACACTATTAAACATTGTGTGCAAATAAGGGGATAATACTCATATTGCAATTAGTGGAGTACCACAAGGTACTAGGGCCAATGTTCTTCTTAATTTATATTAATTATCTAGATTCTAAAATAGTTAGTAAACTAGTCATGTTTACAGATGATACCAATTTAGATAGATTATCAGAAGAAGCAAATTCAATTTAAAAAGATTCAGATTAAAATAAAATTCACTACCGATCAAACACCTGGCAAATGACTTGTGAAAAAGTGCTGGACTTTTTGTGCACGAATATAAAATGGGTAACACTGATCTAGAAGAGACTACTCATGAAACAAGCTGAGACATCATTTACATTTATTCAATGTAAAGAAACCATTAAAAAGGCAAAGTTAATGCTAGGATTTCTAGATAAAAGAGTAGTATTTTAATCAAGAGAATAGTGAAGCCTCATTTAGAATATTGTGTAAATTGTGGTCACCAGCTTACAGAAAATAAATTGGTACAACTACTGCAGATTCATTCTAGGGCTTAAGGGAATACCCTACACTGGGTGACTAAAAGAACTGAGTGTTTATATTTTTGAACAAAGGAGACTACAAGTGGACCTTATCCAAGTTTTCAGAATCCTCAAAGGTACTGACAAAGTCAACCCAGTGGTTTTCTTCAGAAATAACCAGGAAATATGCACCAGAAGGCACAAGTGGAAGCTAAGTGCAATTGCATGTACTGTAAATATAAGAACAATAGCTACTTCTTTATAAGTGTTGTGGTAATATGGAACAAGATACCCAACCATGTTGCTGAAGCCTATATCCTGGTTTCTTTGATGAAACTGAGGATTGAAATCCATATATTAATAAACTACTGTACCGAATAGGCTAGATGACCTCCTTTCATTTGTATCACTTCTTATGTTCTCAAATTGCAAGATAAAATTAAATGAGGTATACTTAAATAATTAAAAAGTCATAAAACACCAAATCATACGGTCCATAAAAAAATTAAAAACATCCACATGTAAAATTTTTAAATAAGCTTTCAAAACTACTGTATGTATGAAAGCAATAAAGACACAGAAGAAACAAGACAACAAAAAACAGATTTATAGGATGATAAGAAACCTAATCTATAAAAGTATTTGCAGTTTTGTTTGAAAACACCAACATGATCAGAATTAAGGATTGAAATTCTGTACGTAGATTTTTAAAAAGTTGAAGACATACAAATCAATATGCCCCAAAAAATTAACCATTTTCATTAAGAAAATGTTCACTTTAAAAATGAATGAAGCCTACTGTATTAGTGCCATGGAGAAAAAAATATTTATTGCTTTTTAGCTAAATAAAATTGCATAAAAATGAGATACTTTATACATTAAAAGGAGACAATATTGCCTTAAAATGAAATAGTGCTGCTAACAATCGTCATCTTGTGTGCTGTTCTAGAATTGTTTTGCATTCCTGTATCACTTTACATTCTCTGTTTACAATTGTCTGTACAAACCCACCCAGAAATACTGTTTTGTCTCCTGGCACATTTCCTGCATTTTGCTGTGTAATTCTGAATTTATATGTATTTGATATAAGCATCGGCCGAAAGCTTTTGAGGTTTTTGTGTTTAAATATTCAGCAATCAACCAACTGTAACAGTAAGGCAACAGTAGGTGTAGGTCTTGCTGTTAAGTCATCGTAAAAGTATTTTGTTCAATGTTTTAAAATTAGGCAGAAGCCTATCTACAGTACGTTTCAGCAGTTCCATAAGAAGAGTAAATTACATTTGATTAGATTAATTCATTTGCAGAAAGAGGAATGTGACGATTTTCTTCTGTTGTTAATGAAAATGCTACTTTACTTGAGACATTGCAAGATATTAATAAATTAGGCAAGTTTGTTTACAAGGTAATTATCGTGTTTTAGCACAACATTATATTGATTAAATGCAAAAGGTATCGTGTTTAAATGCAATATTATCTTCTTTAAACACAAAAAATATCGAATTTAAAAACAATTATCTTGTTTAGATGCAATAAATATTTATTTCTACATGGCACTAATAAGCATCCATAGAATGATTAAGAAGCTGCCTTCAACAATTCTACTGCTACAACTGGGGATATATAGAGTCAGTCATTCTACTAAACTAAGCAGTCCAATTAATTTAAAATGTTGTATATTAAAATAAGAATCTTTACAGTCACTTCTGTATCTCACGGGTAGCCAGGATTACAAGACCAACAAATGAAATATGCGTTTTCTTTCTAGACATAGTTCTAGCTGAAGCATTTTGAAACTGAATAAACTATACAATAAGGTAAATCACTATTAATTGATACTCGAAAAAAGAGAGGCCAAATACAACATTTAGATTTGAGGCTTCAGTTCTGATTGGTAAATTTTTAAATACAGTTCACATGAAACAGAAATATTTAGCTGATTCTCTGAGCCAGTATAATCAATATTGTAATATAATAATAATAATATTTAACAATATAAATTAAACGAATTGTGTTATTAACTCAATATTAATATTAATATTGAATAATATTTACCCTGTCTTGCATACTAATTTTAACATGAAGAAAAATCCGAAATATCTTCATACCGTATATATCACTAAACAGTTATTGACTTATGTTAGAGTTTGTTTCTGTATACTTCATAAGTCAAATTTTCTATAAGTCAGATTTTACACTTTTATACAGTGATGTTAGCAGATTCTTATACTATTTTATGCACTGCCTAGCTTGCCTGAACACATTTTGTAATGCAATGTATACACTTCATTCTGCAGTAAAATGGATAAGACAATATTTATGAACTAAATATACTAAAAAAGTAGTAAAATAAAATGTATGGATTTAATAGAGAAAGTTATTTAAGGAAGTGCTACGTAGCCCCACTTTTGTATATGTATCTGTAAGAATGTATGTAAATCTGATTTTTTTAATTTACTGTGATGTATGGGAAGTTGAATTTGTGTAAATAATACAGTTAATTTCAAAACTAAATCCAGTGTCACAATAAAAACATGTCTGACCTGAATAACAATGAACACTAGTAATCTATGGGGATGATTTTAGTGAGCAAATACTAGTAACTTCTGTCTTTAGCTGAACATAATCCATCTGAATGGAATCTGAGATGGGCCACAGACAGTTTTTAATAAGAGTAATAACTTGTGAAAATGTTTCACCTGTCTTTTCTGACCCCACTTAAGATTGCATTCATAAACAAGCAACAGAGTAATCTGGTCCATAGGATGCAGAAAAAAATATTTTAGAGTGTGAAAAAGGACCTAGAATACATGTACATCCCATGATGCTTTGCTGTTTTTATGGATATCAGCTCCCTTCCTAATGGACAGAAGCCAAATGTCAGCATAACTATAACAGATGACAGATGGGAGAGATTAGACATGCATGAAAGATGAACAGCTTACATATCCTTTACATGGTAGCCCCAGCATAAAGAACCAAGCCAGACTAGCAGGTGATATGTACAATTGGAGAACACAGCTGTACCTGCTCTGTATAAATTACATTTGTTACTGCTGCAGCTTCAGCATCCTCTACGGATTTGTTTATTAGGAATTAGGCTCCTCTTACTCATTCATTTCATAATGAACAACTTTATTTATACAGTATACTGTATATACAACATATCCTTAATGATGATCTGACATGATACCAGAGATTAGTATCCCCTTGGTACTTCATCCATATTACAGTGCACAGAAATCTTAAAATGGAAAATATCATGTTGTGACATAAATTATCATTAATGGTTCACACTGCACAGTTTTTTCTCAAATATTATATTACAAACCAAATATATGAAGATTATAACAAGATTTTCTGGTAATTATGAAACAGTCACTGGCCTTTATCAATCATGGCTTTCTAATAATCCACATCTTTGAAACCGCTTCATTACGCTGTTCTCCTCTCTATGGATAGCTGATGTTTGGTGAGTGTATTGGTGCATTTTGGCTGCCATCGCATCATCCAGGTGGGTTTACATATTGGTGGCTTTGGAAAGGAGTCCCCATTACTGGTAAAGCGCTTTGTCCAGAGTGTCCTATTAACCGAATGTAGTACACGTAATGTACTGTACAGTGAATGTCTAGAAAAGTGCTATGTACTGTAAATGTGAGGAAGTATAAATCACCCACTTTGAAATCATAACTACATTGTGAATAAGAGAAACTGAAAGGAATGTTGTTTGTTTAATTGTATTCAGGGTTTTGATTGACCATTTTGTAAATAACATAAAACTAATGAAATGTAATAAATAAGAAATTATAGGTTCCACATGTTTCACAGCTCACAGTAAGCAATGGGAGCATATTTTGTAACTCATGGAACTTGTGTTATTTTTCAGAGGATATCAAGATTATCGAACAAGACATCACTAACTCAGGTACGTGTCTACAATTTATAAATTCATATCTGTAGATAACCACAAATGAGGTATTTCAGTGGTCTTCAGATCCAGCTTTGAGGGCTACAGTTCAGCAAATATTATGGGTCTCTTTAAATCATTTTTGATTTTTGTATGGGTCCAATCAAAAACAGCAAATACTCTGGCCACATTGGCCAATAATTATCATTTTTTAAATTAAATCGGAAAAGGTTGACTTTAGTCTGCCTATAGTTTAACAGTAGTGACTCACCAAGTATATCTTGTGAAAGATCCATTTATTCCCAATAAGAATTTTTTATCTTTGTTTCAATGTTTTTTAAACGTCTTGCATATTTCTTCACCTGCTCTCCGGTATTTTGTGAATAACGGATTGATTTGCTTATCATGGTATGTATCCTTTTAACACACTAAACTAAACTTCAATCAGTAAAAGAAGCTTTATTCTGTTATTTGATTAAACTGTTTTGTGGCATAAGAATGAATTAAACTGAAGAAGAATGATACAATGGCATAGTCCTTTAAGCACCACATGAGCCTCATTAAATAACTTAAATACGCTATATAAACTTTATACATTGTATTCTTTCCTTATGTTTAAGTTTCTGAAATATAACACATGAAAATTTATATAACTGATCAATTCTTGTTTCAAAAGAGATCAATGCTGGTATATGTCATGGATGTCGGAAGGGACGAACTGTGGAATGGCAGGAGAGCGAAAAAGACCCTATGCGTAGTGGCGAGACGGGGTTTGCCCGGGCTCAGCTGTTCAGGAAATGCCATATTGAAACCTATGCCCTCAGGTAGCAGACGTGGGGCGACCTGGTGCAGGTTTCAGGACATCCGAACCTTGATGCTGAGCAAGGTGCAGAGTAGAAGCAGGAAGCAGGAAGTAAATAGGCTACACAACAAGACACACCAGAACAACATGAATAATCACAGGGAACTAGGAACAAGAGAGAAGTAGAGCACCCTCTAGGTGTACTGGGCGTGACAGTACCCCACGCTTTAAGGGTGACTCCTGACGCCCAACAAAAGAGCTGCACAGCACTGGGGGGAGGAAAAACCTAATTTAACTGAAAGGAAACCTCCGGGAGTCCACAGCTGAGAGCTACCCCCTCCTCCAAGGTAAAAAACCTTTATTGAGTAGAGGAAGGGGGGGCAGACTGGGCTCAGGAGGAGCAAGACAAAAAAAAAACAGACCGAACAAGCAAAAAGTCACGAACAACGAAAATAAACCCCGACAGAACTGGGGAACAAATAACACATAAGGGCAGAGACAGAGACACCAACAGGGGGCGTGGGAGCCCGGAACACGGAAGCAGCAGGGGGGTGTGGAAGCCAGTGACAGAGACAGCAGCAGGGGGCGTGGGAGCCTGGGAGCCTGGGACAGAGACAAAACACACAACAAATATATACCCTGATGTAACAGGGGAACAAACAACATGTAAAAGAAACAACCCACTACAGAGAGGGAGGGCAGAGGGCACAGAAGCCCAGAACCAAGAGTAAAGAAAAAAAAAAACAAAAGCAAGGAACCAAAAATAATTGGAAAAAACGCTCACGGGGTCTAGAGTAGCATTCGGTCACAGATGTCGGAAGGGACGAACCATGGAATGGCTGGAGAGTGAAAAAGACCCTATGTGTAGCGGCGATACAGGGGTTTGCCCGGGCTCAGCTGTTAAGGAAATGCCGTAAAGAAACCTTTGCCCTCAGGTAGTGGGGCAACCTGGTGCTAGGCGGGTTTCAGGACATCCGAACCTCAACAGGGAACTAGGAACAGGAGAGAAGTATAGCGCCCTCTAGGTGTAAAGGGTGTGACAGTATGAGAGTGAGGAGAGGAACTATTATTGTTAAACATATCAGACCTTAATCCTATGGCGTTAATAATCAAAAACAGTAATAGCTTGTGTTGTTGTTAGGTCATTTTCACACATCAATTGGCTCTTTGTTTTTTTATCTAATATATGAACAAATATAATTGATTTGGCTGTGCAGTAGAGGAGTAACTATTGTAAAGTTAAAAAAGTAAACAGTTTTACTTTATTCTTCTGTTCAATTTTTTCCTCTTCTAGCTTATAACATCCATTATAGCCACATGACGACTCTTTCTTTGTGCTTAAATTTGATCATTATTGCATATAACTGCATATAGTGCAACTTTGGTTTACATATGCTTATCACCATCAAATCAAATTTATTTACACATCCTTATCATCATCAGATCAAATAGTCATGGTGTGAACCATCTGAAAGCACTACACAATTAGTTATTGTACTTTTGAGACCATTGTGTAAGTATTATGGAAATCTTATATAATGCTGTCAGCATTTACAGAATGTTTTATTGTGAATCATAGTGTTGTCTGAATAAAGTACAATTCAACAACAAAATAAAAAGCACAGCATGAACAAATCAAGAAAACAAGTTATCACAATAACTTGTCCCAAGAAAATTAAACTTCATCTGTGATTTTCAAGAATAACAAATTAATAATCACAATCTAGTTTAAAAATCTATCCACCACTATACAGTTTCTAGTGATTTTCAATTGTTTAGTAAGATTGTATTGAAAATGTTGCTTTGGACGACTGGTCTTTTTCAACAAACAAATTGCAATTAGGTTAATAAAAAGACAGGTCCCGCTTTTGGAAATTGACAGAAAGAAAAATGAAAAGAAAGAAATTAGAAAACTATATTTGAAATTACACATTACATTGAATTATGGACTACTCTGAAATGTTATTAATTATTCAGAAGCCAAAATGAAGAACATGTCAAGATAGAAATGTATTTTATAAAATTTTAAGTACAGTACTTTAGCTTGTCATTAATCATCACAGCACTAAGCAGATCCTAATCCACTGCACTAAAAAAAATCTTAAAAACAGGTATGAAATTTAACTTGATAAAATAATTGAGTTTTGAACACTGGTTCCAGTTGACATAATTATATATTTTCATCCATCGATTTTCTAATTGCTTTATTCAATACAAGGATCTTCACAATAAGTGCAAGGTAGGATAGACCCTGGATGGGATGGGAACAAACAGAAACAATCACAAACACACTCACACCAGGGACAATTTCCCCAGAAGCCAATTGGCCTACATAGGGAGAGCATAGACACTCCACGCTGATAGCACCCCAGGTCTGGAATTGAACCCAGGACCCCAGCGCAGGAAGGTAGCAATGGTAATCACTGTGCCTCTCTACATACAGTATTTTCAATTTGAATAAAACCAGAAGAAATATAAACTTAT